TTAAGTGATTAGCAGCAGTGTTCAAGCTGCTAACCATAAGGCCACCACAGTTTAGCAGAACATCATTGTAGCTTCTTCTGGGGAGAAAAACACTTAGAGAAAATATAAAGTTAACAGCTGAAATAGCAGGAAAACATACAGTTAAAGAGCAAATTGTAGAAGAAAGTAGAGTGTGTGTGTGGATAAATATAGGTAAAATAAGAAATAACAAAAAACAAAGTGGTTTGATGTGACCACAATAAAACACATTTTAAACTCTTTTTGCCATGTTTGAGGCTGTTACTCTAAAGCATGCACATTTGTTTTTCCTGTCAGAGAGTCTGTCATGATTTTGTGTTCACTTATACCGATGGCCAAGCTTTCAGACTCACCGTGACATGGTGACGGGCTTGAAAGTCTGTGTGGGGATGGAAAAGACGTCTGGCTTCGCAGTGAGGCTCAACGTTAATATTAAGTCTAAAGTGTGCATGTTTAATCTTTGACCAAAAGTTTGGTGAACACAACAGGGCCCTTGTTGGGTTTGGATATCTGATAGCATGTTATAATTACCCATGACGTTCCCTGATTGGGTTAAATGGGACTCAGCAGACTTTAAAATGGACCGGACCATGTGGAAATCAAATTTGTGATTTTAGTCTGTTTCTGTGCGTTAGCTGCTGCAACAAAACTACCAACTCCCAGGTAAACATCCTGTGTGTAAATCTTTTCTGAGCTCAGTTTTTTCCTAAAAACAATATAAAACCACCTTTTATAAATGAGAAGTGAACTGCACTTGTAATGCACCTCTCAGAGTAAGGACTCCAAAGTGCTTCACACTACAGTGTATCATTCATCCATTCACACACTCATTGACACACTGATGGTGATGAGCTACAATGTAGCCACAGCTGCCCTGGGGCGCTCTGACAGAGGCGAGGCTCAGACAGGCGCCACCGGTCCCCCCGACCACCACCAGCAGGCAAGGTGGGTTAAGTGTCTTGCTCAAGGACACAACAGCAGAATTCTCTGGTCGGAGTCGGGATCGAACCTGCAACCTTCCGATTACTGGACAACCCGCTCAACCTGATGAGCTACTGCTGCCCATAAACATCTTATGGCAGCACTTAATGTTTGTGTGAAGCAGCAGATGGAAAAACAGCTACAGGGTTTTCACAGAAGTATTAATTTCCTCTTCATCCACCACTCGGATAGATCCACAGCTCAACACAGTCACAGACTGGAATCTGCAACATTAAGACTGTCAAGGGAGTCGTGGAGGGTAGGTTTGGTCCAACTCCTTCCACTTCTCTCCTTTTTGGAAAGAGAAGTCAAAGAATGAAAAATCTCCCAGAAATCACATCTGAAGTAGTTTTCAGACATTCGACATCCATCTTCTTTTGGATTTTTGCAGGTATCTTGATTCATGGCTGCCATTAAAAGTGTGCTTATATGTGAGCTACAGATCTATCAGAAAGGGAGAGAAAACTGGACAGAGTGGACAGGAAGAGGGAGTGTTGGAACAGTTATGTAAGCACAGAAAGATTGTTTAACCTGCAGGAAAAAGGTGTATTCCCCTCTGATTGTTTCAGAGTCCAGAACTTAACACTACACATCATCAAGCCAGATTTTTGGCCTGGATTTACGTACTAAAGGAATAGAAATGCGTTTTTACTACCTTGTTTACATGACGCACTCAACTCGGTTACAAACATGTCCAGCCCTTAAGTGTTTAATTTTAGATGTACACAGTTTGCGAGAGCTGAGTAAATATCTCCCACCACACGCCATGTCAGATTTCTGAACTAGGATCTTGAGAAATGATGGCATTTTACTCGTCTAGCCAGTTAGCACTCATAAAAGTGTTTTAAGTGACTCTACAAGGTAAACAATCAGTGCAAATAAATGCACATCTAAGACGAGTTATGGCAGAAATCAAGCTAATTAACCCTTTGTAGCTACTTAAGCAGATCACATGGGTCCGCCATGATGGATGTCAAAAGGGAATTATGGGAGTATTGAACGGTGGGCAAAAATGGCGACTGAGTTTGATTATTATTATTTTTTACCTGCAATGCCTGGCTTCTACTTAAGAGAAGATTTAACACACCTACGTGGGGCTAATAGAGACCGGTACAGAGTGTTGGCTAGCTTATGAATGTTATATTTTTTTCTCCTTGCTGCTGTAAACCGATGTAAACAAGTCGCCGAATTTGTCCGAATTCACCCCGCTGGATTTATACCATAATGTGATTAACAGCGTTTCACTTTACATTGGAGCAGACTTAAAAAGCCTGAAAAAGTCGGGACCCCTACCAGTTTTTTTTTTTTTTTTGCTGGTGGGGTCACCGGCACCAGCTGCCACTATCATGCCGTGGCAGAAGAAGATGGATATCTCATAATGGCGAAACTCATCATGCTAAATAAATAATGCCATTTTAATTCAAAGTTCTACATAGGAACAATATTCTTACCCCCAAATTCCACTACCTCCGCTCCGCTCCGGCATGAACTCCAGAGCAAAATCGGTCCCGTTGTAGTCAATCAGAGCAATTCCACTACTGCGGCCGTGCTCCGGCAGTGCGGCGCAGTGCGCCGCCCTCTGTTCCGGCGTCCGGCAAAAATAGAATCAATCCTATTTTTGCCGGACGCCGGAGCACCTCCGCAGTCAATGGACAGGAATCACAACCGCCCAACAGGAAAAGGAGCAAGCACAACTTCCGTTTTTCACAATAAATCGATAAACAAAAGTCGTTTTTTGTTTCATATGCACAGGTTTAACAACTTTTAACAACTATCAATGGCGGCTGAACTTTAAATGCACAAAAGTAAGCCATAAATACAGTTTCCACTATCAAAGTAGTCTCACTTTGTTGATCCAAACACTGCTGATCTCTCAACACAAATGATGGGCTGATTAAACAGTTCATGCCGATGCTTCTCCCACACAACGGGTGTTGGGATCTAACTTCCGCGTTTATTGCTCGGACTGTATCGCAAGATCTCAAAAATCCCGCGCATGCTTGTTTGCCCACCTCAGGTCTCCGCACCGGAGCGGAGCCGTTGTGGAGCGGGTACCAGTAAAAATTGAGTTCGGAAGCGAGCGGCTGCGGAAGGCGGGGGCGGACCGGAGCGGAGCAGAGGTAGTGGAATTTAGGGGTTAGTGTCTAGTATTTCACTATAGTGGACAGCAACACACGTAGGATTATTAACACTGTGCTGCCGCGTGTGTGTGCAGCAGCAAGTACATCACATTTATCATTTCAGTTCCATCACAGTAAGTCCCTGTTTTTCTCATGAAATATAACGTTAATCGTACCCAGTAAAACGTCCACTGCAAATCCAAAAAGACTTTGAGGGCTGCTAGTCCGTTTGATTGACAGCTGCAGTCCATCACCGTCCTCTGTCTCCATCGTCCAGGGGCGACGGTGGCACAGGAGTTAAGTGCTTGCCTCGCAATCGGAAGGTCGCAGGTTCGAGACCCGCTCAGTCTGTCGCTGGCGTTGTGTCCTTGGGCAAAACACTTAACCCACATTGCCTGCTGGTGGTGGTCGGAGGGACCGGTGGCGCCAGTGCTCGGCAGCCTCGCCTCTGTCAGTGCGCCCCAGGGCAGCTGTGGCTACATCGCAGCTCATCCCCACCAGTGTGTGAATGTGTGTGTGAATGGGTGAATGACTGATTGTGTTGTAAAGCGCCTTCGGGGGTTCCAGGACTCTAGAAGGCGCTATATCAAATACAGGCCATTTACCATATCGAAGTTATTCCATAAAAAGATGAGTTAAGTTTTCAAACTTGTCTGTTAGTGCGGCCGTCTGCGCAGCAAATTATTACCATTTTACTGTGAAATCAACTAAATAAAAGTGATATAAGGCTACAGACTGACTTTTTTTGTCTAGCTTCAAAAGAGTGTGTAAAATAGTTTCTCTGTTGTCGATTATAGCAACGGGGGCAGTCCCCTGAACAGAATAACGTCATGGGCAAAGGTTCATTAACTAGAATGAGAGCCTTTATCCTCGTTAACACGTCTGCAAGAAAACAGAATTTTCGTTCCTGTCCTGCGTCGGTAGGTGGTGACATGTGTCCTTTAATGTTAGCCTATTGCAGCTCTAATAGTAAACAGCGTTGGGTACAGCAGACAGATTAAAAGCAGGAAATGCAAAATGGCCAAAGGAACGGACAACAACAACGGTGAAGCACAGCACATTTGGTATGTACTGTACTGTTTGATGTTGTTACACGTGTTATATTGTGCCAATAAGATTATCAGAAGACCGCGTCCGCGGTTTCGTCACTTCTGGAAGCGGGAGTGCCCAGTTGGGTTATAATTCAGATAAGCTGGGAAATAGTTTACTGACAGAGAAGTTTGGTTTTTTAACCACAATTTCTGGGTGCCTTAGCTTGATTAGGAGTAGTCCAGTCCAGACTAAGGTGTTTACATGCATTTAAATAGTCCAACTTCAGTCAGACTGAGGCAATAATTCGGTTTTCTGACACCTCATGTAAACACGCAGACTGATAGATGTTCATTTTATAATTACTTTCTGAGAGTTTGGATAAGATCTTCAGAAACATGATGTGTTCGTTAAGCTTCTACTTTCTCGCATCCCTCTGGTCTTACTTCCTGGGTCTGGTAGTAGTACCACTTTAACACCAGCCCAGTTCACTCAGTAACCCCTTCAGCAGACTAATTTGTGAATAATGTTCAACGTAACATAAACAGTCCTTGCTCCGCAAAATCTGCATGCTTCCTCTCTCACCTCCCTCTTCGTTTTTGCTGTAAGATGCAGGTGCATCATGCTGAGTTCATTCATCTTTTATAGTCAGAGGATGAGTGTTAACTGCCTTGCTGATGCGGTGAAAATGAGGTTGTTGCAGAGTCTGCCTCCATGCTGAAAATGCAGCTGTGCTCTGTTACTAACAGACTCCTACAAGCTCTATGCAGACTTGTACACAACCTGTCCGTGTTTATAATCGTGTGTGTGCGGCGACATTTTTGTCCCCTAAGTCATTTTGTTTACATTTAGGCGAGCGAGATGAAGATGTGGAACAGATGCAAAGAGAGACTGATGTCTTCAGTCAGATCTTCAAAATAGGTTAGTGGTGCGGTGCTCATCCTAGCTGTGGGTAACTCTTATTATTATTTATGAAGGCACGCGTGTGTATAAATGTATGTTTGTGACTGAGTGCTTGCATCTCTTTACATTCTAATTTGGAGGATTACTGCAGACTCCTCATATGTAGACGAATGGAGGAGATCAAGAGGGACTGTGCAGATGATGGCTAGTGGATTATAGTTCAGGGGATTGAGCGCTTGCTGTCACTTTTCCTGTTAAGTGCTGAAACACACACACACACACACACACACACACACACACACACACACACACACACACACGCGCGCGCGCACGTAAAATTAAAGCACATTTCTGTCTTGGGTAGGAGAAGTGCCATCCATGTGTTTTCAGGCTGTCTTGATTTATAGTTTGTGATGTCACCAGGATTTTCTGCTCCTCACTCCTTTCCTTTGCCCTGACCCTCACATTCTTGCATTGTTTTAAAAGGGAATGGGCGTTGTTTCTAGAGCTCAGATTGTAAAATGTTTTATTAATTGCCTTGAGCGAGCAGGTCATGGTGAGCAGGGGTTACAGGGTCCTAAAAGGCACCGATAACCACTTGTTTCCAAGCAGCTCAGCTCCTGGCCTCTCTTTCTCTTCTCCTGTGAATGCACACACTTACTCTGCTTAACCACGCTCTTCCCATTCACAGTGCATGTGTGTGTCAGAGCTCAGAAGTGATTATTGGGACACCTTTAGGTTTGGGAAAACACAAACCTATATAGAGGTCATATTCCAGGATTCTTTACCCACAGATGTTGTCATCTCTTTGTCATCCTGAATTTCCATCATTGGTACAAGTCATGGGCACAAGTTTAGAGGAGAAAAAAGTAATTTTAGGAAGAACATGATGCAACGTTCCATCATTAATCTCCTGATAAATCAACCCAATCCTGAGCATAAAGAGTAATTATTGTGCCCCTTTAGGGCAAAATCTGTAAACAGTACTGAAAACACCAGCAGCTTTCCATCGCTGAGACTCCCAGGAGACGTGTGGTTGTTGTCATTCCTGCCGGATGTCAAGAGGCCGTGGATGTACCGGGTTTTATAATGAAATGCTGCATTTACAGTTCATGTCAGGAAGAGGAAACAAATGTGCAGCTGGCCTTTGCTTAGATCAGAACCGATGATATTCAAAATAAATGTAAACGTTGTTTTTTTCCCCTTTGCAGTTAAAGAGGAATTACCTGTTAGCCGTCCTTTATTCCACCCAGCCCTGTCCTGGCTTCATCATTTTCATATCTCCCTCACATCGGTTTCCTCTCCCAGTGGCCTTGTTATATGACATCCATAAATGTAGGTTTAAATAAAACACTGAACACTTTCAGAGGATATTATTATTAGGACTTGTGTCAAAGCAGCTGCTGCCTGAGATGTCAGCATTAGCTTTATAGTACGCCAAAGGATTCATATAAGAAGTGTAAATAGAGCAAAGATCACATGAAATGTTATCACTGCTGCCAGTGGCTCATTGATGTCACAATGGTTACAGCCCTTTCTCTTTCTCTTCGACAACAGAATGGATGAGGCAGAAAGGAACTTACATCTGCATTTTGATGTGAAAGTCTACTAAAATAGCTGCGAAGGTAAAAATAATTGCAAAATACAGTATTTCAAAATTTTAGACTATTAAAAAAAATCACGTGGGATGTCAGCAACTGTCAGGTAAACACACAGGTGAAAATATCTCAAATAATAAAACCTAAACTTATTAAAGATACCAAACTGTCTGCTCGGTTATGTAACGTCCAACTCCCAACACCACCGGACGATGTTTCCACGGTGACGTCTAACAGGCTGATCTGTTTAGCCAAAATCCAATTGTCTTTAGGGAAGTTTCTTGCAAATGTTCAGGAGTTTTCTCAAGATGATATGACATGCTGCAGCGGAATGGTATTGAACATAAGTCCCGGTTCAGCCACATATTTTGATGTATAATTTAGCTTTTGTTTTGAAGCTGCAGGTCTCAGAAACAGACACCAGATGCGTCTGTTTCATCATGGAGAATTCAACTGGAGATGAAAGCAGCTTCAGACAAGATAGGATTTGGGGTCTTGTTTCCTGATATTTGGACATCTTGCCTCAGATTGGATAAGATCAATGAGATTCTATTTGCTTTATAACGTTGGAAGTTTTATCTCTACTAATAACACAAGTCTGGAGGATTTCTGCTGTGTGGTGGAGTTGCTAATGCTAACAGTTAGCTTCTACTAGATGAGATGTTCTCTGCTTTTTCCTGGATGCTACACTAACAACAGCCTTCCTAGTTGTGAGCCAATATGGGTGAGTCCAAGCGACGGCTTGACGTAGTACTTTCAGACTTTTCGAATCCTGGAGTTTCACCTCCTATTTTCTATCAGAAGCTAATGCAGGTGATAGGTGCAGGAGACTGTTTTTACGTTCAGCCTCCATGAAAAACTCAGTGACAGATGAATTAAAAAAAGTAAAAAAAAAGGGGTTTTCGGTGAAGGACAAGTTTAAATGATCAGTGTGCAAAATGAAACTCGTCACATATCTGTTGAAATCTCCATCCAGACTTATGAGAGAGAGGGATCCAAACGGCCCACATATTTTGTGCAATAAGGAAATCCTGGCATGGGTTTTAACTCTGTTATGAACCCTTCCTCCTCCTCATCTGCCTCCTCTGCTTCCTGCTGTCTGGAAACTGTGAAAATGGACAGAAGAGTCCTGTTGGGCAGCTGGAGCTCCTCTTTATGTTTCTGACACTCTTTTCCTTTTCGAATACCCTTGCACTTTGATTTTTTCCAGATTTTGGGCTCAATCCCATAATAAACATCCCAGCCACCGTGTAGCCTTGGTCACAAGTGTTCTTGTTCTTTTCAAGGCCTCCATAAGCGAGGTGCTGCAGGCACTGGGGTAGCATTAGCATCCCTATATACCATACATGTGTTTTCAGTGCTTTAGCTCAAATTACACACGGCGAGTTAGAAGCTGTTCTGGAATCTGGTGTGATCTTCATTTGTATTTAGAATGTAAATACTTTATCAGGATAAAGGCAGCTTAATCTCCTAAAGGTCTAGAATGTTTTGGATTTCAGTTTGTAGCTCCTCCTGTGTGACGTACGCTGTTGGAATCGATGCATTCTTCCCAGTCTTCTGAAATCCAATAAATCCTGAAAGATAAATTCAGATTTAGAGAACGTTAAACATAGTTGAGAACTGAAGTGGTTCTCTCTAAGGAGGGGACCTTTCCTAGTCCTAGTCATAGGGTTAGGCTTAGGGTCAGAGATAATCCATAGATGAGATTTTTGTAACACATAAACTTTACTTTAGCTGCAGTTGGGTATGAGCATATTTAGGGTTGGAAGAAACATCATTTAAACTACCTAAAACAGATTTGACATGAGTGATGGTGAACTGAACACAATCCCAGACGCTGTGGAACATGTTTTCCCAGAACAGGAGATTGACTCTGGCTTAAGAAAATTGATGCCATGCCAGGTTAAATTAGCCAAGCTCAGCCTGATTAGACAGTTGGTGGTGCAGCGAAGGGTTAAGTCAACGCTTGGCAAAGTTCTGTTTTACTTGTGACCGTTTTCTGGAATCACTGCTGACAAAAACACTAGGCCTTTTCCCAAGAAATAAATTCAGAGTATTCCATATGTAGTCACCCCCTTTGGTGGTATCTAGGATTATATTTTGAGTTTGACTGAATTAATCATGCTGCAGCCTGAGAATACGTTATACTTTATCTAGAGATCAGACGCTAAGCTCTTCTAATCAGTGCTGTGGGCTATTAAACGACAATGGCATATCTTGGAGGGTGCAGATCTTTAAAGAGCAAGTCACTGCCAAATCAACTATTTTTTTCTGATAAACTATATAAATGCGTGTCTAATCGTGCTGCAGACACGTGTAGTCAATAGTTTTGCACTTTAGTGCATGTTAGTTAAAATTTACATTTTTTGCCAGAAAATGTCAGTGTTGTGCCGTTGTCAGGTAAAAACTCTGCACTGCATTTGAATTTAAATCTGCCACCGCTATTGGCTAAGAGGTATGCTATGATGTAAACTGGTACATTATGATGTCACAATGTCGTGAGTGTGTGTATTTGTTAGTGGCTCCACCCTCTCGGTCTGCTAGGCAACAGCATTTGTTGCATTTTTCAAACATGAAGTGGGAGTGAAGTACGCTTCTTGTAAGGGGTGACTTGCTCTTTAATGAGGGCAACTTTCATCGCTTAGCAGGGCCAACTCTGCACCTAGCAAACAAAACATTCTCAGTTCTTAGTTTTTGGCCCACACATGGCTGAGCCTTGACTGGAGAGTTGTGGAGTAAGAGTCAAATCCATGTTCATTTAGGAAACATCTTGTCTAGACAGGGCTGAGGATTATTATGAGCATTAGGGACAATCAAAACAGTAGACAAGAGAACAAAAGTGAAGTTTTAATAGGGATAAGCCTCGAAATTACCTGAACTGTTGCTGCTTGTGATGGATGAAACAGAAAACTGGAGATTGCGTTCTTATTTGCTCTTTTTCTGGTAAATATGCGTGAGATGCATGATTTGCTGTAATGAAACAAAGCTGTGTACGTCCTTAGATACTGGGACCTAAAAACAAACCAATCATTCTAATTTTTTCCTCTGATTTCAAAGGAAGAAGGAAGTCTTAGAGCAGATTTGGGCAGATTTTAGCTCTTGTTCAGGAATAAGGGACTGCAACTTGTGGACTCTGTGATGGAGCTGTCTTACTTCAAGGGGCTTGTTTCTTCAGGACTTTAAAGAATCAAAAAGACATGGGGTGTTTGATGTACCCTCAGATTTTTTCCTTCCTGTAATCTAATTTTAATAAAGGCAATGCCGTGGATATTTCCTCTGAGATGAGCGCTAACAACAAGTGACTGCTGGAAGCTTTCTTACATTTCAGTTCTTGTGCGAGCTTTCAAAATAGAACTTTTTCAATTTAGTTTTGAATGAAACTTCTAATATGCACGACTCTATTTACCAGGTTCATTGATC